GTAAGTCATCCTTTTTCAACATTACTTGATTTTTTTTTTTTTTTTTAGCCTGTCTTGAGAGGAAAAAAACGTGTCATTCTGCAGGAAATACTCTGTGGTTTAACAGGGGAAATAATTAGCAATAGGCAGAGAATACTTTATTATTAAGGTTTTATTTTTTATTTATTTATTTATTTATTTATTATTTATTTTTCTTTTTTTATTGGTTGTTCAAAACATTACAAAGCTCATGACATATCATCTTCCATACATTTGATTCGAGTGGGTTATGAACTCCCATTTTTTACCCCAAATACAAGTTGCAGAATCACATCGGYTACATTATGGGTAGCTAYAAAAGTGTGTGAAAATATGATTTCTGTAATGTTATAAACAAAGTTTATATCATGTTCCATATACTGTAGACATTACGCTACTTTAAAATATGTTGTAGTTTTTCAACTGTTACAAAACCATACATTATTGTAGGTATGCTTAATTCATGTAACTTGGAAATTCAGTCATAATTATTATAGAATTATGTAGATTTTGACAGTACAAAATAATCATGTAACTAAGATGTTAGTTTTCTCTCTTAAATTGTTTCTCAGTTTTATAAACAAATTTAGTGGTTATAAGTGGCTGAGAGGCAGTYACAATAAAGTTAATTTAGAGTAGGTTACTGATATTTCTTAGTGTTTTACTATTATTCAGTGATTCTCCTTCCAAAATAGGCCTTCTTGCTTCACATTTTGCAGAATTATTAACTAAGAAACAACACTTGAGACTTGATTTTGTAAGATTCCAGAATCTGGACTGAATTTTTTTTCCCTTTCACTGTGCAATATTGATGTCATTAATTATAGTAATTGTAGCATGTATCTGCGCACACGCAGTGTTGCRAGCAATGTAATTTAACCAACCTCACAGCAACACTGTGGGTGTCTCACTTGTGCTGCTGAAGTTACTGAGGCAGGTCACCAAGCAGGAATCACAAAGCTAGTATTGTCACTTATACTTGATTCTTAAGATAAGGAGCCTCAGTGTTCATTTCATTACATCCTACATACAAAGGTTYTCTTTTAGGGTCATTGTTTCAGAATTTTTAACTCTAGTAACTTTACTTGTCACCATTATTTCTTGCCCATAATGGGCAGTCTATAAAGAAGGGTGGAAGGGAGGAGAGGGGGAGGAAGGAGGGAAGAGGGGAAGAAGAGAGGGAGGAAGGAGAGGAGAAAGTGAGTCTAGAAAGAAGGAAGAGGGAGGGGAAAAAAAGGAGGGAATCCTATGGTTCCTACATTCTTAATCCCCAAATCCTCAGCTAAGAGAACTGTCYTATCTCCTTGGGGAAGATCACTTGTCCTGATCTGTGCTAGGGAGACAAACCAGGACTGGAGTCAAGACATTCTTTGCTGATAAATTAYCACTTTATATATATTATTTCTTCCTTACAGTATTGTAGTCTCTAACCTACCAAGGAAAGTGTGTTTGAGATAAAGACTTAATACAGATGGCAAACATAAAAGTGATGGAGTCATGTTTAGCAGTATTCTTAATTGCCATTCATTTAGCACTGATTAGAAGATAACACCTAAATTGTGTCAAACTACTCATAAAAGCAGAGGGATACTGGGTTTATTAAGCAATGAATAAGCAACATCTATTTCACTGCCTTCTCCAAACAACTACTGGGGGTCATCTTTTATACACTGAAATGCATTCTATCTGCAAAATTTTTAGCTTTATCTCTAAAATCTCCTCATAGCTCCCCCAGGAAAAAAAAATGGTTTTTGCATAGTTTGCTTTGTTTATTTCATTGTGTGGGGGCAGAATTGTCAAATGGGAACTGACTTAGTAATATGGTGTATATAAGCCAAAGAGAAAGGACACCACTGGAAAATGTATAGACTTGTTAGGACTAACAGCACAACAGCACACTGTGTTCAACTAAGGAGAGGAGAAAGAAACCTGGCAAAAATCTGAAATGTGTGTGTACAGCACCATCTCTATCCTGGGTTCTTCTGACAATCACAGCTTTTTCTTGTGTTTGGCTGTTGGCTCACAGCAGCTGTATCCACTCCATTCACACATTGCATCACCTGGGAGTCAATTGCTGCTTTGCAATTCGTGACTTTGTTCTTTTTTAAATCTCAAAGCTGCTAAGGGATAAAAGTGCTAAGCACCATCGTCCATGGTGTGCGAGATAGTTGCTACTTCATTTCCCTCAAAGAATCACTTTTACTATCAAATGTTCCCATTAGTACTTTAAAGTGACGATCTTAAATTTTTTTCAACACAATATGTCAGAGCTAGATGCTTCAGGATCGCTTCATAAAAACATAATCATTTCAGGGAGAATCATTTTTTAAAGAACAAAAAAATAGTTATTTCTAATTTTAACATATATGTTTTAGTCTTATTTTGATAATACCGCAAGATCAGCAAGTGTAAGGAATAAGGATGTTATATCTGTCTCTTGTGTATTTCCTGGCTAATTTTTATTGTTAGTTTAAAATTTAACATGTAATGTCTGCATTCTCGGGTGGGACGTTTCCCTTTGTTTTTAGTAAAAATCTTGGGGTGTTTTTTGGGAAAGAGCCTGTTTAGTGTCTGTTGCTCAGTTGGGTAAAGGAAATTCCTTAGCAACCTGTCAGGGATTCAAATGCCACTAGGGTTTCCTTGAGGTTCAGCATCCCTCTGCAGGAGAACTTGGTGACAGCACACTGCAGGTGGTCCCTTCAGTGCCCTTGCCTAGGGCAGAAAAGAGACCCAGCCCAATTTGTCTTTGCAAGGAATGCTGTCAGCAGTYGAAAGTCTTAAATACAAAACCTGACCCAGTTAAGGCAACCTGCTCCCTAATATCTTTTAAAAGCAGTTGCCATGGATGAAAATATTGATATATAGCACCTACATAAACAGTTTTTCACATGAAGATATATGATGTTAAAATTAAGTGCTGTGTGATACATCGTAATGCTGTCTGTCCTATAATTTCACAGATTAAAAGATGCAGATTACATTCCCCTCATTCTGATACAGATGTTAAAGTAGAGCTGATAACAGATGATAAAATCACCTCTCTCCTCACAGTCCTTCATACCTTGTTTGGCTGGTAGACATAACAAGGACATTTACAAACTCATATTGAAAAGGATAAGAAACATTCTTTTTGTTGGAGTAACTAAAAAATTGACCTGGACTTGGAATGTGTGTAGCTCAGTGATAGAGTGGTTGCCCAGCATGCATAAGGTTGTGGGTTCAAATCCTAGCTCTACACAAACAGTAAATAAATAATAAAATAAATYGATGCATACATATGCACATATAAATGCATAAATAAATAAAATTGTCTCAATTCTTTATTTTTGTAGTAGTTTCAAGAATAGCAGAATATCATGCATCTTTAAAACACCAGATATCCATTGTCAAGCTTTTTTTTTTGATTATTGAGTGAGTGCTAAAATAAAAATTCATCTCTGCTTACCCATTTATACTTGCTATTATTCACTGAATACTAGTTTTGTGCCAATTCCTTTACCTAGATTACTTATAATCTGTACAAAAATTTTCTGAGATTGCCATTGCCCCTGTGTTCTACATGGGGAAACTGTGCAGGCTCGGGATACAAAGCTTGTAGAAGGGCTTTGAAGCACAGTACAAGTTATTTTGACTGTCCTTTGCTATTGCTCCTAGCACAGGAAGCAAAGAGACAGGATAGCCTATGAGTAACTAAGAAACTAAATATTTAATCAGATGTTGAGTATCCTGAACAGTAGAATAAAAACCAAGAAGGCACAAGAAATTAGGTTAAATGTCACAATAAAATATGGACTTCTGATGGAAATGAAAAAGAAAAGCAGAAGTTAATGGAAAGTCAGTATATGACAGGTCAAGTAAACCTAAACAAGAGAATGTGAAACTCATGCAAATATAATCGGAAATTGGTGAGGAAGGTGAGAAATTAAAAATGTGTAGGAATGAGCCAGGAGATAAAATAAAATGTCTCAATGTGAACTTTTTTTTTTTCTTGAAAAAATAGAGTCTTTGGTGGCTTGTTGATGGTTTTGCTTCTGATCTGACAATATCAGTCTTTAGCACTATGGAAATTAGACTTTTTCCGGTTGAGGCTGAGCAGTGTCCAGTTCCCAGCAATATAAGTGGTGAGAAGTCCTGATACTAAAATGCCCTTCCAGCTTCATTTAATCTGCCCCCTCAATGATGCAGGCAGCCTTTTCAACTTCATTTCCACGTGACTGTGAAGTTTAAGAAGAAAATGTGCAGTTATCACATGAAGATGTTAAAGACAAAAATTAAAGGCTTATTTCTGTATTCCTAATTCAAGATACTTTTTGTAGTGCTTTATTTTTCATTTGTAAACGTATTTATACTGTCTTTCTATTTCTGCAAAAATGCATTGGCAATCAAACATCAAACAGACTTTCAGAGCAGARTAGAAATCATGAAGAGAATGCCTTCAGAGTTATATGTTAATATATAACATTAAGTTAATATTTTTTTTTATTTGGAACACACAAACCTCCTTATTTTTTTTGCTATACATTGTCAAAAACACCCATCAAGTCAATATATATATTAAGCATAGTTTCCAAAATAAACACTTTTGCCAATTCATTGCCATTAAGAAGATTGAGCTTCGTAGTCATAACTTGATACCTTACCTCTGAGTCTTCCTGGAAAATGAATTTTACTTGGCAACACAAGAGTTTCTCTTTTCTAACTACCTTAGAAGGTATAATACTGTATGTAAAAATTGTTGATCCTCTTTTCCTACTTAATTAGAATCCAATTAACTTTGTAATTACACGTTTGTAGTTTTGCTTTGTATAATTATACCCAGAAAGCACTTTACTACTTTCTCTGTTTTTTTGTCAAATCTGAAACCAGTGAAGTCCACTGTATCTTATATGTAATATTCCTTTGAAGAGAATTTAAGGTGAAAGGCTGCTTAGAAGGGGCCAGAAACAGATGTGAACCTTTTCTCTTCTTTATCTCCTATCCAGCCACGTCTACATCTACCACCGGGACCAGCCATCTTGTAAAGTGTGCAGAGAAGGAGAAAACGTTTTGTGTGAATGGAGGCGAGTGCTTCATGGTGAAAGACCTTTCGAATCCTTCAAGATACTTGTGCAAGTAAGAAAAGAAACACTCTCTGTGGCTCATATCCATAGCTTCTTATTCTGGATGATTCCATGTCTCATGATGTGGATTGTTGCTTCTTTTTCTAATTTCGTTGCATCCTGTTGAATAATGCTGTTTTATTTGTAGAGTGTTTTGAAACGTTCACACCATTTGTTATTTCTTCTGTTATATCCAGAATTGTTTTTGCTTTTTTTCAATGTGTGCAGAATTTTATTTTTTGTGTTTGGTTTTGGGGTTTTTTTTGGCCTTCATATCTGTCATGTTGCTTTTCCCGTGGTTGTATGGTTTTCCTCATTGTTACAATGAGATGTGCAAATATCACTGGGGGCTATAACTTTGATACCTACTTCTCCATCCAATGTATGAATGGGGCTGTAAGATAATATTCCTCTCTTACTCCAGTGATCACCTGCAAAATGAGTAGGACAACTAAAGGAAGCAGAAGTACAGAAGGTTCTTTATTAACATATCTGTCAAACTTGGGAATATCTTATTCCACAACCATAAAAAGAAACATTAGGTCTGTATTAATAGTGAGGAAAAAAATCATTGCATGTGTTCAGAAATGTGCTCAGTGTGTGTGGCACCACTATGTGTAGCAGGCAGTGTTCTTTCATGCACTATTATCATCTATGGATATGTCTAGATTGTCCCTTTTTTCCAATGACATGGAATAATTGTTGCACCATTAAGAAGGATCAAATTTATTCTCTCTTATCAGGAAGCATAAAACAAAGGTATTGTCAGTGCATTAAACGATTAAACCTTACAGTAAAAATTAATAAGGCCTATTAAAATACCTATGTTTATTGGGTCATGCATTTCAGGTCTACTCTTCAGATGTATTTCATATGTAGTATGTGGACTCATAAGTTGATATTGGTAAAATGTGCTTCTTATTTTACTGACATGATGAAAAATATATTTATTTTGCTGTTTACCAATAGCTATGTCCCCAAAGCAAAGTGTTTTAAAAGCAGTTCCTTTAAAAATGTAGTGTAGAACATCTAACACATTTTATAGGCCAGTTCATAATTCAAACATGCAGTGTGTACATTGTTCGAAGAGTAATGATGTTTGTCCTAAAGAAGGAAAAATAAAAGCAGTCTCTTGCTCTAGAATTTTAGCAGGTGACTTAAAGGTTGACAAGGAAGAGCAAATCTTTTAGGAAGGCAGTTGAGCTAATAAAAAGAACAGCTGGCATAAAGGAAAAAAGCATAGGAAATAAGTAATAAGGCCTGTTATACTATAACAATGCAAATATTGTATTCATTTGAAGAAAGCTTAATTATATTTGTTAGTAATAAAGTGCATCAGAAAAGTCATTTGTTTCAAAATTTAATACCAAACAAAAATGCTGTTTTGTAAGAAATGTTTTACTGTCCCCTGAGCTGTCAAAATAGGCATCTCTCTAATGTGTCCCAGGGGAACTGGTGGCTGTGAACAAGAATCTTCCAGAACTGTTATTTTTTTTGCCCCCAGAGTTTTTTTTTTTGTTGTTGTTGTTTTTTTTAAGAGTAGAAGCAGTACCAAGAAAGGACCCATACTGGTGATTGTACAGTTGATTTTATCAATGAAGACAGACAATTTACAAAAGCAAATAGAACATGTTAGGATGAATACAAGARTGCTAGAAGTGTAAGATTCTAATCTCAATTACTAGATGTCTCTCTCATAGAGACAGATAATAGTCATAAGCCAAAGTAAAATTGTAGGTAAAGTCTTATTAAATCTGTAAAACATGATAAAAATGGAAGAGTATGTAGGAGAAAAAGATTCCCTTTCCATCTAAGTTATCTCACAAATTTATGTATGATTATTGTTTAAAAATTAATTTTTGACACTTTTTGAACATTAACATTATTCAATTCTCTATGCCTATGTCAGCATAGAAATTTTCCAGTTTCCATACTTTTTTTGTACTGACTCACCATGAATACAGTGCAAATATGACCAGACCATATGTATCATAGCGAATTGGCCTGAATGAATTTTATAGTTTTCTGTAAGATTTTCTCAAATCAAAATAGAAAATACCAGAAACTGGAAATTATAATATGTAAAGTATGAAGTTAATTTATTACATGGTCAAACCTTATTTTCTTTCCTAATTTTGGTAATACAGTATAATTATTTTAATAGATCTCTTTAAAAAAATATTTAAAACATAATTCCTTAAATCTTCCCCCTTTTAAACAACTGTACTCATATTATCTATGTCTCATATTTTACTCCTTGAGAAACACATCTGAGACCACTGTATTTTTAATTATAATAATGAAATATGATCATTTTTCATCGTAGCCTTTGTAAAGATTTACAAGCTGAGTGAGTACATATGATAGTTTCTGAATACCTCCAAGGAACCACTGCAGTTATTTTCCACATATTAATTTCAGCTATTCTATAGCCCTCCCACATCCTATACAAAACATGCAATCACATAAGTGCTGTTCATTTATTCCATCTTGGTATTGTGCCAACACTGTAATTTTTCTTCACCCACACAGTTTCTCATTAAATGTTAAAGCCCAATCCAGAAAAAAAAAAGTACTTGCTGTATTTTTTTAATCTTAGAGTGAACCGTTTGTTTGTTGTCTAATAATTATTAAAGCAGCAAAGCATGAATGAATACTTTGCATCCCAAAACTAATTGTCCAGTGGATCATGCTCGCTTTCAAGTTCTCAGAAAATTTCTTGCTTCCTTTCCTCTCTTTTTCTCTTTCTTAAAATGTTGCTTTGTACTTAAAAAGGAAGGTGTTATAAATTACTACAGTATTTATTTGGAAAGAAAATCTTTGGCATCTATAATTTTGATAGATTCCCCCTCCCCTGCCCCACACACAGACTCCTCCAAGGACCGTGACTTTACTAGTGTGTTAAAGTACACCAGTACCTTRAAGAAGAATTAGAGTATATTTCTATACAAAACAGTCCAGGCTTTTGTTGTTGTTGTTAAATGAAAGTGTTTTTTATTTTTAAGAAGTCCCTATGTTAAAAGCATCTATAACATTAAAAAGTAATCACTACTCAGAATCTAAATAAAGACATATAACATACCATGTCTTGAGATAATATATTGTTCACGAGACCACTTGAACAGAAACAGAAAACATAAAAATGTTGCATTGGCTCATCATGGTTCTGTCTATGAAGCCAGTTCATAGTTTCCATATGGCCCAGCTGTGTAGAGCAAAACATTGCTGAAGCATGAGCTACATCATTCAAAGTCAGCTTTATTTCTGACTTAAGAGATGACTCAGAAACACCACAAGCATGGAAGTTTCCAAGTAGTCTCTCTGGTCACCTAATCCCCTGTTGTCTTCTTGGGAGTTGAAGAAGATTTTATAGCAAATGTCTTTTGTCCCTCCGTTTAGAACAAGGTGTTCCAAATGGATTAACCATATAATAGTTAAACACCTCTCTGAGGGGAGCTTTGCTGGTTCCTTGGACATTCCCCTGGGCACCGTGTGGGGATTCCAGTGTGGTTCTCATCTTTTATATTTCTTTTCACTGCACAGAAATTTAAATTTTATCCCAATGTGGAAAAAAATAGTTAGTATTCCAGATTATACAAGGAGAAGGAAAGATTCATTCCAATTTTTACCCTCTGATGCTGTATGTAGTCATGGAGTTCAAAGAAACAAGATCATTGAACATGAAATGGTCCAGATTTTCCTCTGTTTTCCTTCTTTTATCTGTCCTTTTGAACAGTTTCAATAGAAACTATTTTGGAAGATGTTAATGTGATTTTTTTAAATCTGAAAATTATTTTTCTATCAGGCCGTATGTATAAACCTGATACATTGTCCAAGTGGACAGATGGGGCTTCGTCATGAAGGGATTAGAGTTTTAACCGCCAATTTTGGTGAAATGTCTTGAGTCCTTTTACATCAATTCTCTGGACAATATTTTATTTATAGATAGAGTTAATAGGTTCTCCAATTTTTTTCCTAGGGAATCAGTGAAATTAAATGAGTTCATTTCTGTTAGAGTACTTTTAACACTAGGGATAGAAGTGTTTTTTTTTTCTCTTATAATAAAAAGTAAATGGTAGTATTACATTGTCTCTGTTGGCACTGGAAAATAATTTTTTCATTTTATTTTACGTTGGTAGTTGGGTTTTGTTTTTGTTTTGTTTCATTTTTTGTGAGTCCATAAGCTTGCTGTGTAACTTTTCAGTTGACGAGATCATTTAAAATCTCTGATCATTAGCTTCCTTCTATGGAAAAACAAAAACAGGAAACCAAGCAAATTCTATTTGGAAAGATGGGAAGTACTTACAAATATGGACTTCTGTGATTCTGTTGATTAATATTTATGAAACCATGTAGGCCCATGTTGTTTTAAACATTAGTAAAAGAGACAGAGTTATAAAAAACATATAACTATAGGACATTAAGTCACAATAATGTGCTATGAATTAAACTCAGTAACTGAAATATTAATTAACACTTATTGATATGTCAGCTATACATCACACATTTTTGAAGACACAGAGAAATATAAGGCATTATCTGTGGTCCCTAGGAACTTAGTCTGTTTAAGAAAATGAAATAGCTAAAAGAAATTAAGGAATGACAGTGAACATATTATGGATGGTAAAATGCTGATAATTAAGGGAATAATAACTTAAAGAAGGAAAAGAGAAGACTGAAATAAGTTAGAGAAAATTTTATAAACATTGTTTATGGGATTTTTCTAAATACCAGGCAGGTATTGAGGTTGTAATAATCTTTTCAGCAAAATGCTCTGACAAGCCTATCTAGACCACCTGCTCCATTGTAGCAAGTTTAAAAAAAAAAAAAAAAAAAAAGAAAGAAAGAAAGAACAAAAGAAAAGGAAATCTAAGATGAGGAGCCAATTTCCAAGCCCTGAAGGGCAGGCAGAGGACTTTGGGCCTTGGGATAGTTCAGAGGGAAGCATGGCAACTTCTAGAGCACAAGAGTGGCACCATGAACATAGCAGATGGTTAACCAGGCAGGCTGGAG